TGAACACAGCATCCCCACTGTCAAACATGGTGGTGGCAGCATCATGGTTTGGGCCTGCTTTTCTTCAGCAGGGACAGGGAAGATGGCTAAAATTTATGGGAAAATGGATGGAGCCAAATACAGGACCATTCTGGAGGAAAACCTGTTGGAGTCTGCAAAAGACCTGAGACTGGGACGGAGATTTATCTTCCAACAAGACAATGATCCAAAACATAAAGCCAAATCTACAATGGAATGGTTCACAAATAGACGTATCCAGGTGTTAGAATGGCCAAGTCAAAGTCCAGACCTGAATCCAATCGAGAATCTGTGGAAAGAGCTGAAGACTGCTGTTCACAAACGCTCTCCATCCAACCTCACTGAGCTCGAGGTGTTTCAGGGAAGAATGGGCAAGAATTCCAGTCTCTCGATGTGCAAAACTGATAGAGACATACCCCAAGCGACTTGCAGCTGTAATTGCAGCAAAAGGTGGCGCTACAAAGTATTAGCGCAAGGGGGCCGAATAATATTGCACGCCCCACTTTTCAGTTTATTTGTTAAAAAGGTTTAAATTATCCAATACATTTTGTTCCACTTCACGATTGTGTCCCACTTGTTGTTGATTCTTGACAAGAAATTTAATTTTTATATCTTTATGTTTGAAGCCTGAAATGTGGCAAAATGTTGAAAGGTTCAAGGGGGGCGAATACTTTCACAAGGCACTGTATATGAAATGATAGAATCGGCAAAGGCTAATTATAAAGCATTTTTCATACAATAGTCTATCGAAGCCTGTTTCCGCCATGTAAAAAATAAAAATAAAAAAGCCTACAGAATCTCATAATTTTGAGTTTTAAAGTCAAAATTACGACTTTTAGAGAGTTTTACACTGCGCATGTGCGTGCAGTTGCTGAACCTTATGTATTGTTGTCTGGAAAGGTCTCTGGACATCCTTTACCTGCAGGTTATGTTGAAGATATTGCCTACAGTGACCACTGCATCCATGAAGTAGCCTGCAATAATGTTGGGGCATTGATTCTGTAAAACATTCCTGTTTAAGCCCCCGGACCGTGGTCGTAGGACGCAGGATGGATCTGTCTTTTTATTTATTTAAAATTAAATTTACATATATACAACATTTACATCAAACGACTTATTTCGACATAGTGACAAATAATGTGAGCAATATGTTCTTATAATAAAATCAAAGGAAAATGAGCCATCAAGACATTCCAAACTACTCTGACCAGACGATGACGCTGGGTCCACGCGAAGCGAGTCTTTCCACGGCTGAAAGGACGCGCTTTCTACGTGTTGTGTACGGGTTTTATTCATGCATCTATAATGGGGTTTAACCCCCTTTTCAATGACCCTCACTGTTAACTGCGGAGTTATTTCTCCGGATTGTTGCTGAAAGAGTCAATGGCTTTATTTTGTCACAATAAAATAAATCAGAAAAGGCACTTATTCCCTAAATGTCTGAGTAAAAACAATATAGGTTTCAATGGCACCTGACGGGCACTGATGGATCAGTCACGCACCGCGACCCCTTGCATTCACCATTGTGAAAGCAATAGGCCACAAAATTCGGCACACATGTTCAAGTCAAGTCCATCCATCCATCCATTTTCTTCCGCTTTATCCGTTGCCGGGTCGCGGGGGCAGCAGTCTAAGCAGAGACGCCCAGACTTCCCTATCCACACACACTTCCTCCAGCTCGTCCGGGGGGACCCCAAGGCGTTCCCAGGCCAGCTGAGAGACATAGTCCCTCCAGCGTGTCCTAGGTCTTCCGCGGGGCCTCCTCCCGGTGGGACGTGCCCGGAACACCTCCCCAGGGAGGCGTCCAGGAGGCATCCGGAACAGATGCCCGAGCCACCTCAACTGGTTCCTCTCGACGTGGAGAAGCAGCGGCTCTACTCCGAGCTCCTCCCGTGTGACTGAGCTCCTCACCCTATCTCTAAGGGAGCGCCCAGCCACTCTGCGGAGGAAGCTCATTTCGACCGCTTGTATCCGCGATCTCGTTCTTTCGGTCATTACCCAAAGCTCATGACCATAGGTGAGGGAGGGAACGAAGATTGACCGGTAAATCGAGAGCTTTGCCTTTCGGCTCAGCTCCCTCTTTACCACAACGGTCCGATACAGCGACCGCATCACTGCGCACGCTGCACCGATCCGCCTGTCAATCTCACGCTCCATTCTTCCCTCACTCGTGAACAAGACCCCGAGATACTTGAACTCCTCCACTTGAGGAAGGACCTCTCCACCCACCTGAAGAGGGCAGGGCACCTTTTTCCGGTCGAGCACCATGGCCTCAGATTTGGAGGTTCTGATTCTCATCCCAGCCGCTTCACACTCGGCTGCAAACCGTCCCAGTGAATGCTGCAGGTCCTGGTTCGTTGGAGCCAACAGGACAACATCGTCCGCAAACAGCAGAGATGAAATCCTGTGGTCCCCGAACCGGACCCCCTCCGACCCCTGGCTGCGCCTAGATATTCTGTCCATAAATACAGTGAACAGAACCGGTGACAAAGGGCAGCCCTGTCGGAGGCCAACATTCACCGGGAACAGGTCTGACTTACTGCCGGCAATGCGAACACAGCTCTGGCTCCGGTCATACAGGGACCGGATGGCCCTCAGCAGAGGACCCCCGACCCCGTACTCCCGGAGAACCCCCCAAAGGACACCCCGGGGAACACAGTCGAACGACTTCTCCAAATCCACAAAGCACATGTGGACAGGTTGGGCGAACTCCCATGAACCCTCGAGTATCCGATGGAGAGTATAGAGCTGGTCCAGTGTTCCGCGACCGGGACGAAAACCACACTGCTCGTCCTGGATCCGAGATTCGACCATCGGCCGTAGCCTCCTCTCCAGTACCTTGGAGTAGACCTTACCGGGGAGGCTGAGGAGTGTGATCCCACGATAATTGGAACACACCCTCCGGTCCCCCTTCTTATAGAGAGGGACCACCACCCCGGTCTGCCACTCTATTGGCACCGCCCCCGATCGCCACGCGATGTTGCAGAGACGTGTCAGCCAAGACAGTCCTACAACATCCAGAGACTTTAGATAATCAGGGCGGATCTCATCCACACCCGGAGCCTTGCCACCATGGAGGCTACCAACCACCTTGGTGACCTCAGCCAGGGAGATGGATGTATCCGCCCCAGCATCCTCAGCCTCTGCCTCTGAGACAGAGGACGTGACGGGGGGATTGAGGAGAACCTCAAAGTATTCCTTCCACCGCCCGACAATATCCCCCGTTGAGGTCAGCAGCTCTCCACCCGCACCGTACATGGTGTTGGCAAAGAACTGCTTCCCCCTCCTGAGGCGCCGGACGGTTTGCCAGAATTTCTTTGAGGCCGACCGATAGTCATGCTCCATGGACTCTCCGAACTCCTCCCAGTCCCGGGTTTTTGCCTCTGCAACAGCCCGGGCCGCGGCACGCTTGGCCTGCCGGTACTGGACAGCTGCCTCAGGAGTCCCCCGAACCATCATGGCTCGATAGGACTCCTTCTTCAGCCTGACAGCTTCCCTTACTGCCGGTGTCCACCACCGGGTTCGGGGGTTGCCGCCGGGACCAGCACCAGAGACCTTGCGACCACAGCTACGGGCCGCCGCATCGGCGATTGAGGCAGAGAACATGGTCCACTCGGACTCCATGTCCCCCTCCTCCTGGGAGAAACTCTCCCGGAGGTGTGAGTTGAAAGTCCGTCTGACAGGGGGCTCAGCGAGACGTTCTCAGCAGACCCTCACTATACGCTTGGGTCTGCCAGGTCTGACCGGCTTCTTCCCCTGCCAGCGGATCCAACTCACGACCAGGTGATGATCGGTTGACAGCTCCGCCCCTCTCTTTACCCGAGTGTCCGAGACACGCGGTCGAAGGTCAGATGATACGACAACAAAGTCGATCATCGACCTCCGGCCTAGGGTGTCCTGGTGCCACGTGCACTGGTGGACACCCTTGTGCTCGAATATGGTGTTCGTGATGGACAAACTGTGACTGGCACAGAAGTTTTTTCAAGTCAAGTCATGAAAAAAAATTGTATTATGACCATGCCCCCTGACAAACAGGAAGCCCATAAATCTAATTGCAAATTAGAAAAATGATCCTCCTCGACCACTTCACCGATTTGCCTCAAAAAACAAAATTGCTCTACTTCGTCTAAACACATGTCCCATCATTTTGATTTCATAGAATTTTGATCAGTTAAACGTTCGAGCAACAGAGCGGCAAGATGTGACTTTTTTTCCCCCCATGTTTGACAATAGCAAATTTGCTCCCATTTGCACATAGTCTGTTTTGCACAAAATGTTCATCCATTGTTCCGCTCCAGGGTTCAAAGTGAAATAATTGAAGTTGGCCCATTAGCGCCCCCTTCAGACTATGTCAAAGTTTTTCATAGGGCTAATCACATTTAGTTTTTTCAAAATGTTTATAATTTTGTTTTGCCCTCTTGATTCAAAAAGTCAATAACAATTTAGACTTATTTTTTACCCTGTTGCCATGGCGACGACAAACTCTCCCCATTCTAGGTCATCGGCAAATGTACACCTTGCACAAAAATCCAACCAGCCTCGGCCGTTTATAGACCTTTGATTAGTCACACACAGACACACACACGGGGAAGCCAAACAAACGGATCATATTAATTACAATTAAACATATGTTTGACTGTTTACGGAGGGCTGTCCTTTGAAACTGTACTTTTCCATGACTGTTTGGATGCGTTTCTTTTGTTAAATAAAGTAGAAAGTGGAAGAGAGACCAGAAGACGATAGTTTGGAACTGTGATGCCATGGCTGCCTTCTGCCGTCTCCTCCATGGACGTCTAACCATGTAAAATAGAAAGACAACTTTGGTTGAATCTTTGTGTGCTTTGGTCCAGATGACCTTAAGTAGAACTAGTTATTTACAACAAGTATTGACTTACCTGCAGGCACCTTTGCCTTACCTCAGGGTGCCTTGTTCATTAGTACCAACTAACATGCTGGTGCCAAGTTCATTATTATCATCTTACCTGCGGGTGCCTTGCCACTTTTCTGCAGCAGGTCTCCCACACACTTCCCTATGTGGTTCATCCACTCAGACTTTTCTGTAGCGGTGGCAGCAAATACACTGAAGGACTTTGTGGGTGTTTTTATGAGCCAGCCATTATGCAAGTCATACTCCACATTGTCAGGCGCTGTGTCTATTGTGACAGACTCCAGTGGGATGATGTGCTGCTTGTTGTACTTCTTCTTCTGGATCACAATGTTGCCATAGACTAGAATGTCATTGAAGAGGAAGAATTGCCGCAGCTTAGGCTTTTTCCGGCACAACTTTGTCAAGATGCCTTCGCCGATGAGCACGCGTCCAGGAATGGCTAGGGGTTGCCCCGCTGTACCGAAGCAGCTCTCCACCACCGTGATGCGCTTGGAATTGGCCTCACTGTTGGCCAGACGGTCCACCATCTTTGGCACCTGCAGCAGACAGACATTTACTTCACAAACTACAATATGGTCCCTTTTTTAAGGCCCTACTCCGTGCAATAATAGTTATCTTAATGGGTTAGTGTAGTAAATTATGTGTTCCCCATGACAGTATGGTGAATAGATAGCTATGGCATACGCAGGTGGACAACTGCAAGACAAAATATACAAACGATCTGGCCTTCCGTAAGTCATAACGACCCAATTGTGTATCTGCTGCAATTGTGTATTCGTGTTATGTTCTTTCGATTTCTCTAGATATGACACTTATATCTTTCGATGTGTGGCGTATCTGTGACATAACAATGACTATAAAAACCATATCCAGACTTTGTTCTGTCTGAAAAAAACTGAAAGAAACTGAGAATAAACTTCCAGGTGGTTCGAGGAATCTAGACGCACACCCCAAAATCAAAAGAGGTGTCGTAATAGCACATAACAGCACATTCACACATTTACATATAGACACACCTGAAGAAAAGCATTGACATGAGTTTATTGTAATGTAAACAAACATTTGTAATTGTCCAACACTTTAATCATTTCTGGTCTCAAAAAAAAAAAAAAAAATCTGTATTTTTTAGACTAGATATGTTCATTTGAATTCAAAATAGTCATGGACTTAATTGGCATCTGCCCTGAACTATTTTTGTTTAAATGTTTTGAAAAGAATCTAAGTAGGCTGTAGAAGTAGTAAGTGATACCGAGTGTGTGATGCATATAAATTGATTAGGATTAGATCTGATAATGGACCATCAAACAAACTGATTGGCTACCAACTGAGACCCCATCCTCACCCTCAGAGGACCCTGAGGAGTTGGAGAGAAAACTGGGGGAGTGATGTTTATATTATTAAAATGGTACCATTGATGAGTGCTAAATGACACATATACTCATGATGCTTTTGTTTGTGTATGTCCTTAGTTTTCTGTGTGACTATCTATTTGACAAGGCCATTTGCAGAACGAGAACCAGCCACTGAAAAATCATCTATTGCCAACAGCTATTGCTACAACCAGAATTACAACTCCTGATCAAATGCAATACAAAAAAATGAAACTGAGAATTGTCTTTTTTGTTGTTTCATGAATACATATCAACCAAGAGAGTTAAAATCATATCATACAATGTTATCCTTCTAATACAGCAGCTAAAATATTAGAATCAGAATAATGTTATAGCATTTCTAAGGGACATTAAGTCACAAGCTAGTTATGCGTTTGCTCAAGGTGCAAACAAGTTAGAGTAAAAAAAGATATAGGTAAAAATAGAAATAGATAAAAGGATGCATTAGCCATAAAAGAGCATATTTCTAGCCACGAGCTAATATCGAACAGTATGAGGACCATTTCCTTCATAACACATTGACAAACATTTACTTCAAAAGTAAACAAAGTTCATTATAGTATTATGTGCAGTTTTATTAGATACTTGCCAAATTCACTTAGAATTAGTTCTAAAAGTAGGGTTGTTAAATGTAGATTAATGAACGTCTGATCAATCTCGCCTAAATCGCTTCTCATAAACAAACTTATTATAGACAAAAACTTGGATTTGTTTGCGCTCTCGGAGACTTGGCTCCAACAAGACGACTACGTCAGATTGAATGAGTACACTCCTCCGTTAACTACCAGAAAGCGAGAACTACAGGTCGCGGCGGCTGCGTTGCGATTATATCACACACCAACTTACTTCTTAGTTCCAAAACCAACGATGCTTTTCACTCGTTTGAAAACTTAACACTTTCAATCACCTGTCCTGGGTGGAGAAAACAAAAAGCGGTGTTATTTATAGTTTTATACCGACCTCCTGGTCCTTACAGCGAGTTCCTAACAACGCACTGCTAACACAATATTTAGGTAAAATAATACTGCTAGTTTCACATCCAAATTTATTTAATACTTAGAATATATTCGAGTATTTAAGTATAATTTATTATACAGCACCTCAGAGCAGCAGCAGAACAGTCCATTGACTTGAATGTAATTCTACCGATAATTTTTTCTTGATAGCAGAACTCTCAAATCAATAAATGACCGCTGCCCTTTGACAATGCAATCTCTGTTTGTAATTCAGGTGTGTAAAATACTCCGCATTACTCCGCAAGTACAAAGAGAGAAGCTAGCGGAGCTAGCCGAGCTAGCCACGCTCAATAAACAACTACATATCTATCAATCAACACCATTAAATGTTAATCAGACAATAGCGAACTATCTAAATGACGTCACGAAGACACGCCCCCGCCGCCTGTCAACTCCCGCCCACATGTTTCGGACATACACTGCCGAAATAAATCAATAACCACTTGTCACTTTAGACGAAAAATGATATACCAGGAGCAAAATTCCACCATCAAACCATCAGGGATCATAGTATAGACCAATTAAAACGTTGGCTTGAATGTCGTGGTCTTCCAGTAACTGGTAGAAAGTTTGAGTTGATAAAAAGGTAATGGTGAGGATTATGCTAACATTATCTTGTCATTTAAATTGCAATGCTAGCGCCTTCTTTGTTTATTTTGCTGTTATTAACTTCCATTTATCAAGTTTTTTTGCACTGTCCACGTTGTAATTAGTTTGATCTAGTTAGCTACTGTCCGCCGATATTATAATAGATCTATGGGGTCACAACGGGCTACGCCACTACTGTCACGGGAGAGAGAAACTATCGGAGCTAGCCACACTCAATAAACGCAAATATCAATCGACACATTTAAATGTTAATGGGGAGAATATATTATACATACATACATTCATAACACAAGTGCACGGAGGTTTTCAGAATTATCTGTTAAGGTTTTCATGACAAAAATACTTTAATGCGACTAAAGCGATCGCTTTTTTGAAGTAGGTTAACTAGCTTCACTGTTACTCGCCTGCCTCGGGAAAACCTTTGGGAACTATTTTCTTTGCAGTCATTAAATAAACCTTTTGGCATTAATAAAAGTGACTGAAGTTAATTTTGTGTGTTCAGTTGGTACAAAGCCGTATAATAAGCGAACCCCGACGCTCTTCGTCTGTACTTTTTTCCGATAGTCACGAAGTTGAAAAAAAGGTGTGATAATAGCATACATTCTGGATTAGGACAGACTAATATGGATTGATGGGGTAAATGGTATAAAGAGAAAGTTTGTGCTAACTACATTCAGAAGAGCTCAGACGGACCTGATACAGCGGTCCAGGTCCAGTCCCATCTAAACGTAGCTAGGACTGGATCTGGATGCTCCACAGTTGGTCCAGCTTCACAGACAAAGTGTTTTGAACAAATATGAGTCCATCTTAACATTTTTATGAGAGAAATTCTGCCGACCACAAGCACGAACCCACCTCTTGCACTTGTCCTGGTCTGGTCCTGGTCTGGTTCGATGGTGTGGTTTAACGAACGGGTTGAATGTTACTCTGATAAGGACTATATGAAAGTATCTGAAATCGCTTCGACAAGTACCATAACTGCAGTGTTTTGTTGTCACCATGATTCAATGATTTAGCCCAAATAAATACACACACGTATGTGGAGAACACAGTAGTACTCAACGGAGTCGTATAATGTTAGTCCGAAACATGTGCGCATGCCGTGTCATCGGAGCTATTTTTAGCACATGTCGGAAACCGGACAGTGCCCTATACAGTATACATATACATATACATCCTTAACACACATGCACGGACTTTTTCAGAATTTCTTGTTATCGTTTTCATGACCAAATTACTATTTTAATGTGACAAAAAGCGATCGTGAAAAACCCGGAAGTAACCATTAACATGTAGTGAACTAGCTAGCTTAACTGTTACCTGCCTAGCACGTTCCGGTGGAACCTTTGGGAGCTAACTATTTTATTTGCAGACATTGAATACATTTCGAATTGTAAGGGCTGTCTAATGTGTGTTCGAATATATATATTTTTTTCTAATTTTAGAATTATATTTGAAATTCGAAGCCGAAGCCCTAGTGTTTAGCAGCGCTGTAGGGGCTAGAGGACGCAGGCTGTTTGCTGCTCGTTCTGTGAGCGGAGGAGAACGAGCGGCACGCTCAGACTCTACTCAGCACTTTTCACTGCTTGTAATTCTTACACAGCTGAATCAATTACCTCAAGTTTTCAATTAAATTCCGGATTATAATACAACTTGTATGTAGTAATAAGCATTTTTATCAACTACTCCAGGTATAGCTTCTTTAAAAGGCTCCATAAGCCTGTTGCAGTGTCTCCTCTTTGCTCCAGGTCTGCCCATGGCTCATTGTTGTTGTGTAGCATGCGTTAGCAGCTGTGACGCGTGGCTAATTCCTAATGCCATTCAGACCAGATCATGCGTTGCGTCGGCTTTCAATGCAAAGTCAACGGTGACGCGCGTTCGAGCGTCAAAAAGCATGTGCGTCTCGGAATGCACGCACGTACTGCTCAGTAGAGACGCACAAACTGCGCGGCAAAGTCGAAGGGGAGGTGCAGGAGCTGAAAATGGACGCCCACAGGAGATAAACTTTGCTCAACCTTTCCTCAGGACGCTCGTGCAGCGACCAATCAGAGAGCCTCAAAGTGGTCACGGGGACATTAGCTGTCTAAGCGAGCAGACTGAAAATACTCGCAAACAGCCAAAACAGGAGCCACACAAGGACTAAAACCAGGTTTGACAAGGTTTCACAATTCTGTGCTTGTGAATATGCGTTTTCATGCTCCCGTGACCTTATGCAACTGCTTCGAGTGTGTTCTCTGATGCGGAAGTACCGTTTAATAATAAAATAAACTTATTGCGCACCTCAGTGAACACATACTACTTTTATATAAAGTCTGTGGAAGGTCTCTGAACAGACTTGATGCATTCGGCAAAAGCAAGAGATTAACTTTTTCCGGAGACGTCACAGGGACATAAAACACTCGAAAACAGCCAAAACAGGAGCTAAACCAGGACTAAACCGGGATTTAAACCAGGACTAACAATGGGGGAGACTGCTTCTGAACAGTCGCCTCCAGCCTTCCCCTGTGACAGTAAACAAGG